GCATTATCATGATGCAGTATGATGTTCTTCCTATTGAACATCGCCGGCCTCTTTTCTTGGACTGCTGTATTTAAATTATCCAGTTGCTGACAATTCTTCTCCGAATAATGGCAATTACATTATTTAATAAAGTTTATTGACGGTAATAAGAATTTGTATTTTGTTTTATTCCAAAAACGGACAGAACTTTCCGGTAGACCTGATATATATAGTGTAGATGTAGATGTAGAAGTGTAGATTACATCATTACTTATTTTTTAATCAATTTAAATATATATAATTTTTTTTTAAATGATTTATTCTCTCGTCTTTGGTTCTTCCGTTATTGTTGCAAATAAAAATAAATGTTCAACTGCAACTGCAAGATGGCAATAGAAAAATATTTTGCACAATTGAATAATTATCTCATGAAGAAAGAAAGGCAAAATATATTTTTCTTTATACAAAAGTATTATTGTTTATCTACAACATGCAACATTCTGATAATTAACCTTCCTAAGAAGTAATTTTCTTAAAATCAAAGGTCTGATAGATTATAATCTATTTTATTTATCAAAATTATATTCTCTCTTTCTCTCTCTCTCTCTCATAAGAATAAAATTTTATTTAAATAAATTTTGACATATATAAATAAAAGTAAAAAATTATTCACATTCCTAAGTATAAATTTAGTTTTAAATAAAAATTTATATTTGTTATTAATAATGTTAATTTTATTCATTATTTGACACAAATTTTGTCCAATTCTGGTTAGTAATTCTTTTGCATATTTATCAAAATAAGAAATGTATTAAAAATACTTATTGTGAACTTTTAAGGCTTATCCAGACAGATTTGCATAGTTACATAAACATATACATAAGGAAGTTGATCCATTTTCTTATGCATTTGTTTATGGACCAATCAATTTCTTTATGCATAAGTTTATGGAACTATACAAATCTGTCTGGATAAGCCCTTATATGTATAATGTATATTATACTCATAGTAGTATAAATAAACCAATAATCATACATTTGTAACAAATAATCGTAACATTCGTCGTATATATTAAATGACCATTGCGTAAACACAATAAACATTTTTAAATATGTTGTCTGTGCAACTTGTTGAAAAACAATACTTTTGTATATTATTCTATTTACAGACTTCACGCATTTGATATTATAAATACTTTGGGTTGTTTAATTGACCAATCACGATAAAATAGGTAAATATTTCTTTGTTCTGATTGATCGAACGATTTAAAGTGTTTATAACATCAAATAGAATTTGCATATCCAATAGATAAAAATACTTAAGTAGAGCACCAAAAAAATCCGGTATGCAACAGACAAGGAATACCTATGGACGCTTAAGTACAGAAGAAAGCAAAAAATATGCAATGAAAATCAAACAAAGAATATCAAAAAATACTGAAGAAATGAAGAATTAAAGAAGTGCTAAAATGATAAAAAATCTCGATTTCCTACATCGTACGCGAGAGAAAAAGACACATACCTTTCTGACACGTGCCTCGGTCGATGTACTAGTCACAAAATACGAGTGTATCACTTTGTACGGCTGGATACCTTTGGCTGCTTTGAAATTATTCAAATGTATGCAACCATGGTCGCTCATCTCAGGCTGGCAGGAGCAACGCTAATAAGACCGCACGTCCTCCTCCCCCTCCTTCACCACCAACCTTTTTTTCTCTTCGACTCTGAATGTTTGATGATGCCGTCGACAATCCTCGTCCAAGTCTCGCGATGGCACGGATACGACGTACAAAATGATCCTCTGATAACGACGGCAATGACGTGGGGGGCGTAGCTCACTGCTGGCCTTGGCAGCAGAACGTGTATTGTTGACATGGAAAAGAGAGTGGGCCTAGGGAAAATGAAAAAGAACACAAGGAGAGGCTTCCGAACTTTCCACTTCCGTTCGCGTGCTCCGTTTAACTGCCCGTATCAAAAGATACGCGGCGAAAGGGAAAGAAAGAGAAATCGAAACATAACAAATAATGGCGAGGGAGAGGGGGGATGGCGATCTCGCAATACACTAAGTTTCTTACGCTCGCTCCAACTCTCGTCTCTTTAAATGTGTCCCACGTTCCCCGACTTTGCTCCGGTCCGATCACGGACACCAGCCGGTCACTGCCGACGCCGGCAAAGAGAGGCGTCATCTAGCAGATGCCGATGACGTCACAGAGCTCTTGTTCTCTCACATAGCCTTAGGCCAGATTCACACCTTGGCAGAAAAGCAGAAGCTAAGATTGTGCTTAAGACGGTCTTAAATATAAGAACTGACTATGAATACCGGCCTTAATACGTATTAAAGTATATTGGTGTAAACTAGGCCATAGAGTCTATAGCCTATCGCTATCGCTATCGCCTAGCATTGTGCTATAGGCTTAAAGCCCGTATTAGACTACGCATTGAAGATTGAAATCAAAAATTGAAATTTGATCAATCAGGGCAAAGAAATTTTAGTTCCTTTTGTTTAAATAATCAAATTCAAATCATTAATTTTGAATCTTGAATTTTCAATACGTAGTATGATACGGGCTTTAAGCTCTTGTCACACTACGCATTGCGGACGCGGATCGTATTCGGATTAAGGTACATTTTCACGAGCCGCTGAACCGACCGTTTGAGCAACCAAAAGGATCACCCCATACAGCACAGAACATTGCAGCAACATTTGCACCTACATGAAGCTAGCCGGCAGAAATTATTAAATATGATTATTTCTAACTTTTTTGAGTGTATTTCGTTTGTGATTGATTGTGAGTTTGTTTTTAACGTTTGTGACAAATTAGGTTTTTTGTAATTAACAATTTTAGTTTAGTCATGATCTCAGCCGATACTTTTTAGTAATAAATAGATTTTATGATAACTGATAACTGTAATCGACAGGAAATTGTTTGTGATATACAAATATACCAATGTTACATTTGTGAATTGATAAATTTTTTAATTACGTGCAAAATAAGTTTATTTTATAATTGTAGTGCGCATGCGCAAAGTATGTTCAGACTTTGAGATGCGTGACGATTTCCGCCACGCCCCAGATAGCAAAATGCTAGCAGTATGCCAGCAGTATGCCAGCAAATTCAACCATGACTTCGCAGCAGATTCCGCTCTGCTGCGTCCTCATTAAGCTTAATTTCTGGCAGCACGGCTTGCCGATATAATATAACAGAGAAAATGGAGCAAAAATCGAATATTATTTGCTATTACGTCGTGACAGCAGATAGTGGCTGCGGTCGAGAAGACGCTAGAAATGCTTCGAAGCGTTTGATTGACCAATCAAGACACAAAGAATACAGATTTTTTTATTCTGATTGGTTAATGCAATGCTTTGAAGCATTTCTAGTGTCTTCCCGACTGCAGCCATGTAACAAATATCGAGCGAAGTCTGCTATATTAGGGAGAATTCACACTTTGGCAGAAAAGCAGAAAAGCATAAGCCAATCAGAACTCGTGCTAGAAAAGCAGAAACCAATCAGAACTCGCGCTGAAAATAAGCAGTACATTCTGCTTTTTTAGCACAAGTTCTGATTGGCCTCTGCTTTTCTGCTTTCTGTTTTTCTGCCAAGGTGTGAATCCGGCCTTAGATCTGACGGCAGAAATGCGGCAGATATCAAGCATAGCCTGCCGTTACAACGTGACGGCAGAAACGCAGCAAAGGTCGAGCATTGCCTGCTGTCACAATGTAACGACTGTACCCTGCCGAAAATGGTCGATTAAAACCGATTAAAACATAATCCGTTTTAATCGGTTTTAATCGGTTCAATCCGCGCCCGGATTAAATAGTAATCGATTTTAATTCCGAACAAACTATAATTGGTTTTAATATCGCTTTCGCGGATTATTTCCAATCTGAAATCATTACATTCTAATCCATATTGTTGTCAATTCAAATAAACACGAATAATCGAATGAATATTATGGCTGTCGTAGGTCGTCACATTAAGCACAATCCGCGATACAGTAGCGCGACCCGCAACTTGGCGGCCCACGCGCTCACGCGTCCGCGCGTAGTTCCAGGCGGCGCCACTACGCGGCGAAGGTCGGGCGAGCCAACCTGAAAGTTGAAAGCGGTCAAGCGGGGATATAAGGCAGACCCCCTGCGGAGAAATTGTATATTTGTTTTTAACAACTGAGTCCGTTTCAATTGCAGAAACACCGATTTAATAATCGATTGTGACTCATGATAACAGCAAATCCGACTTCACACTATATAAAATCGATTTACTTTTTATCTTCGAAATGATGGAATTTTTTTATTAAGAGGGATTATTTTTACCTATGGATTGACTATGGTAAATTCCAATTCAATTGCATTAAAACAGGTTTAATTATAACTTATGAAATCGTATAATTTCGGATTGAGGTGGATGTATATCACCCAACAACATTAATCTGCTTGAAGCGTACTAAATTCAATTTGACTATTTTCAATCGGTTTTAATACCGCATTTTCGGTGCAGAAATCCCGATCGATTCGGATTACATTTTTTAAATCCGTTTTAATCGACCATTTTCGGCAGGGTAATAATGTCTACAATCACTATTATTGTTTTTAATATTATTTATTATTTGTTCTGGTTCTCATGTACATTACACACGACTCTCTCGTCTAACTTTTACTGTTCTATCCCCCCATCTCAGTGGCGCCACTTTATGCTTATGACACCTTCCTCTTATCAGAGATTTACATACCCATACAGCACACAAAGATTGCATACATATTGTAGCAATCTTTCACCGCAATATTGCAACTTTGCAAATTCACTGCAAAATGTTGCTGCATCATTGCTGTGGAATTGCAGCAATGATAAAATGTCCGCTTTTAGGAATATTGCAACAAAATATTATAGCAACATTGCAATGTAATGAATTTGCAATGATGTATATATATTTATTTTGGGGTATATAAATATGTAATTATTGACGATACATTGTAATTAAATGTCTTGATTTGTACTTATGTTAACGTTATAAATAACATAACATTGCACATAACATATTATTGCACTTAACATGTTCACGAAATAAAAATATATTTTTTTTATATTAGAGAAATATATAAAAATGGTTCAGCTTTACGAGCCGCTTTTATTACCACTAATAATTTATTGAATTTTGTCCATTATTGTTTTCCTTTGTTAAATGTCTGTAAAAATAAAATAGGAGTTAAAATTCATATTTACATAAAAATATACATACTGCAAATATACATAAATATTTTTATCAAATATTTTAAAGTTCATATCTACAGCAAAATAGAAAATAAGAGAAAGCAAAAAATATCCACATAAAAAATATACAAACATATATCATAGATAAATATAATTTTTACTTTTGCGATCTCAATAATTTTAAGGTTATATAGGTTATTAACCTTAGGACATGCTATTCTATTATAATTAATTAATGCATAATATATTAGGTCACTATAATAAAACATAATATTATCAAAAAGCTCTTACCTTTTCTCGTACGCAACAATAAAAAATGTGAATCACGAAATACACGACAATCACAGATATGTGCAGCAAGACCGGCGCCTACTACACACGCACACAATTGCGAACGCGTACATGTGCTGCGCAAAGCATACAGTGCAGCAATATAAGCCAATTTAAGAAAAATGTTTTAATAAAATGAACCATTTAGTATTGTTTATCGTTAACATCTTTCATGTAGAAATATTGCAAAAAATTATTTTATTATAATATTTTATTATTAAAATTATATAAAAATTGAATTTTGCAATATTTCCGAAATATTAATGTCATGTTGCTACAAGTGTGCTGGTACTTTGTGGCTCTATATTTCTGCAATGTCTTTGTAATGTTGCATTGCAATTTGCAACATTGCAATGTTGCTGCAATATAATTGCAATGATCTGTGCTGTATGGGTATTACACAGCTAGTACAAAACGTAGTTATTAAATTTGGACGGTATGGTTCTCGCTCTGGTCGGTCATACATTTTCCTTAACAGACTCACTCTTAATTTTATCATCGCCTGTATTCATGATACCATCATTATCAGATTCGCCGAGAGTATCATTGATATTATTATGCACATCTTGATTGATACTGGTTCTCGGTAACTCATTATCCGATTCTGTATCAGTTATTTCTTGTTTTATAACTGACTTTTTAAGATAATTATTGTTCCTTCTTAGTACATTTAATCTAGTATCAATCAAGTATGAACGGGGAGACTTATGCTTTTCTGCTACTATCACAGCAGGTTGCCATTGCTTTTTATTCTTATAAACTATGGTATCCCCTTTTTAAATTCATCTCTTATTAGTTTCGCATGTCTATCATAATAATTCTTTGTTATTTTATTCCTAATCTGCAGCTTATCTCTAAACTTTCTCAATTTTGCATCTATCTTTTCTACAACAGGTAATTTGGTTTTTAATTTTCTTGAATATAATAATTCTGTTGTGGTTCTTTTAAGACCTGTAATACGCGTGTTGCGATACTCCATAAGTGCTACATTCAAATCCTCAGATTTCTTTAGGATATTCTTAGCCGTTTGTACAAATCTTTCAGCAAGTCCATTGGACTTCCCTGCCGAAAATGGTCGATTAAAACGGATTAAAAAAAAATGTAATCCGAATCGATCGATGGATTAGAATGTAATGATTTTAGATTGGAAATAATCCGCGAAAGCGATATTAAAACCGATTATAGTTCGTTCGGAATTAAAATCGATTACTTTTTAATCCGGGCGCGGATTGAACCGATTAAAACCGATTAAAACGGATTATGTTTTAATCGGTTTTAATCGACCATTTTCGGCAGGGTTCGGATACCCTGAACTACTTGTTTGAAATTCAAAGTCATACTCCCTCGCGAAACGTTGATATTCATAAGAAGAATATGGCATATTGTCTGCTATTACAACATCTGGAATACCATAAGCTGCAAATACCTTCTTAAACATGTCTATAATGTCATAACTTTGTTTACTTCAAAGTAATATTATTTCTAACCACTTGGTTAAATAATCAACAATAACTAAGTATGATTTTTCTTTAAACTCTAGTATATCTGAAGCTATTTTTTGGAATGGCAGCTTTGGTATTTCATGTGTTATCAAGGATTCTTTAACATTAGCATACCTATATCGTTCACATGTTTTGCAGCTTTGTATTATACTTTTTATATCCATAGCCATTCTAGGCCAGAATAGAATTTCAAGAGTTCTATCACACGTACTATTTACCCCGAAGTGTTCTTCATGTAATAGCTTTAACATTCCCTCTCGTAATGCCTTCGGTACTACTACTCTGTCATTATAAAATATGATATCCTTATGTACATGAAGATCACTTCTAATCTGATAATATATCTTCAGTTCTCCTTCATACTTTTTACATTTCCATCCATTCATACAATTCTCACGTACTTCCTTTAAGATTACATCTTTTGTAGTATGTAATCTAAACTCCTCCTTTCTCTTTTCGCTCATTCTTAAATATTTTTCAACAGAATGCACTATTTCATTCATATCTTTATCCACTTCCTCTATCTCACTACTATAATTTCGAGATAAACAGTCAGCTACATATAAGTATTTACCAGGTAAGTATTCTATTTTTATGTTATATTTTAGCAGTTTCAATCTTAATCTTTGCAGTCTTGTCGAATGTACCTGACAAATGCGTTTATTTAATACACTTACATTTGGTTTGTGATCAGTTACAACTTTTATCTGTCTTCCATATATATAATTGTAAAATCTTTGAGTTGCATAAACGATACTAAGCATTTCTTTCTCAATTACTGCATATTTCTTTTTTGTTTCATTAAGTCCCCTGGATGCATATGCTACAGGCCTTCCCTCAAATACGAGATGAACGCATCGCCCGCGCGTCGCATAGCGGTAAACAAACGAACTAACGGCTGAATACTATTTTCTGTAAAATTTTTGGAATGTTGCGCACAATAATATTTCTCAAATATTAAATAAATAATAATTTTGGATATATGAAAACGTGCGCATCAAATTCAATTATTAATATTAAACGAAATTAATGTTAACAATTAATTGCCAGATAACACATGTATGTCCTCTAAAAATCAAAAGGACATCCAATATAATAGACAGGACAGATATCCTATGGACATCCAGGGGTTATCCAGTGGACATTTATAGGACATTAATATTTATTATAATACTTAAGAGTTCTAAATTATATTAAATAGCCTACATAACTGAAAGTAATCATGTAGGCGTATTAAATTTTCATAAAATATATTTATAATGATATCTTAAAACGTCCTACAAATGTTCTGAACCGTCCTGGACATATTCAGGATGATCCTGAGGATGTCTTGTGCTGTCTGGGCCCTGCATTAAACAACATTCAATGCCATTTAAAAAAGCATCTGTTTGTATTGTAATCTGTTTCTTAAAATCAAAGTTCATCAATAGTGTTTTTATTTATTTCACCTTTAATTATACTTAACATGCTTTGTCATGTACCTTCAACCATTGAAACTCCATATCTTTTTTTCAAGAGATCACACATGGGGCTAGCAATTTCACCTAACTTTGGTATGAACTTTCTTACATAGTTAATTAACCCTAACAATTTTTGTAAGTCTTTTTTACATTCCGGCGTTTTCAGCTCATTTATTTCTCTTATTTTATCATTGTCTGTTTACTGTATCTGCTTTCTTATCCTTTTTAGTCGCGATTAAGTATAATTCAAAACTCTGATAAAATCTTTTGAAATTTTCATCGAGATTTCCATCGAATCTCATCGGCTCCGGTAACCTTCCAACTCCTTCCATTGCCTCTTTTTACGTTACGATTTTAACACAACTTATTTTATTTTGCTCTTTTAATGTTCTTCCACGACTGCGCCATGTAATAATGTCTACAACCACTATTAAGCGGGGAGCACACACTTTTGCATAAGCGCATAATCATAAGCATAAGAAATTTGATTGGTCAATTTCCTTATGCATAAGGAAATGGACCAATCAATTTCCTTATGCTTATGATTATGCGCTTATGCAAAAGTGTGTGTTCCTCGCTTTATTGTTTTTAATACTATTTCACAGATGTCTATACTAAACCTAGATCGCTAACTTCGGGCTCAGAAATTAAACTGATAAAAATAGATATTATGGCTCCTGCACACAAGACACAGGATACGCGGCAACGCTTGCCGCGTTGCCGCGTCCTGTGTGCAGGAGTCATTACACATTTTTAATCTTATTAACCGCGCTTTGCGATCTTTATATTTGTCTGTAACAGAAACTTGATTACGAGATAGATACGTCATATAGCGGTAAACGAAAGAACTGTAACTTGATATAGCATATCTTAATATTAGTTGCTGTGATTCTACCATTATTTTATAACAACAAGTCATGCTGTATTTCTGCTGTGTTTTTACTGTTATCTTTTGAAATGGCAGCGCATGCTTAATTTTTGCAGCATTTCTGCCGTTACGATGTGCTTGCAGATGAACTCGATTTTTAACGATATTCTATCGATATAGCATGATGTGTTCTCAGACAGCAAAAGGATGTCCTTAGGACGTCCAAAGGGCATCTAGGACACACATGTAGAATATCCTGAAGATATCCTATTTTAATCCTCGGATCTCCTCTGGATGTCCTGAGGAAGAGTAAATAATAGCCGAATACTAGCCTCTGGAGAATCCAGAGAGATCCTGTGGAACATCTTAAGGATTTCTATGGGATATGTTAGGGATATTTTTCGTACGTTTCAGGGAGCAAATTCTGAAAATTGCGGCCTGTTATTTATTGCCAGTACTGAAAATATAATACTGAAAATAGTTTACGTTCTTTGATATTTGAGATTTTTGTAGTCTACATGAATATTAGGTTTGGCTTTCGGGTTTGAGCCGTGTAATATTTTCTAACCAATCCAATATCTGAATTCCCTATGTTAATATTGTATCAGAAATTGAACTGATAAAAAATAATTACGCTTTTAATTTCCTGCTAGTTGCTCTTTAGAAGCTTTATATAATTCTCAAGATCAAATCTCAAATATGAGATCGCGCGTCGCATAGCGGTGAACAAGCTCGGTTTCTGCTACTGATCTGCTGTCAAATTATGTCAGCAGGTTCTGTAATATTTCTGTTGACATTCTGCTATCATTATCTGATATAACAGACTTTGTATACAATCTGCAGCCTTTCTGCTGATAAAAATTTGTAGCAGATGTTTGGTAAAATCTGTTCGAACAGACTTTGCTGACTGGGATAATACTTAAGATTTCTAAATTATATGAGATAGCATACATAACTGGAAGTAATCATGTATGCATATTAAATTTTTATAAAATATATTTATAATAATATCTTAAAACATCCTATAAATGTCCTGAACCATCCTGGACATATTCAGGATAATCCTGAGGATGTTTTGTGCTGTCTGGGTTTCGAGAAAAACATGGTGGACTTTTTATTAGACTCATCCTGTATATATACATGCTCTTGTATTATAAAAAACTATAAAAACATGACATAAAATACTCGCTTCTAAATATAATATGCATCTTATTACATACATCTAAGAACTCGTCTCATATTGTTAAAGTACCCAAGCTCCTTGATGTTAACAAAGAATGATTATTCAATTTCAATTCGTGGGAAGAGGAAGATCTCGAAAACTTAGAGATATGTTTGATACTAAAAACACAATAAGAAATTAAGATAGTGACATACGCGAGAGGTTAGGATATCTGTTATGTACGCAGTAGGCAATGTAGAAAACGTTCTGTTAGAATATCTTATTTGTAACAATGCACCTCCCATTGTTACCTGGCAGTTGACCCGCCAGAAGTCTGCCGCCCGGCAAACACCAGCCGGGCAGTAGCAGGGGCGCCTAACGCCCTTTTTTATACGCATTGCG